TGCAGACAGCAATACCCTTCTCCCTGAACACTTTGGCAAGCACGTCACTGACTGGAGTTCTGTATTGGTTTAGCATTCTTTTCCCCATTTTCTGAACATAGTGTGAAATGCACAGATCTCGAGGGAGCCCTTCAGCGAATTTTGACAAATGCACGCATCCATGCAACTCCAACCCCTATCAAGACACAGAACATCCTATTGCCCCAGAAAGTCCTCTCACGCCCCTTCCCGCTCAATCTCCCAGTCCCCCTCCCCCCAAGCAACCACTGTTCTAAATTACAGTGTATAGTCTCTGTGTCTGGCTTCCCAGGGGGTGTGTCCATCAGTAGTTCCTCCTTTTCATCGGCAGGTAGTATTCCATTCTCTGGCTGTACCACAGTTTACCTAGATAATTTTCCCACTGGTGAATTCCTTTCTTAAAAGTAAAGATTATTGCCTCATCAAGGTTGTTCTGTAATGAAGTCACGCTTGCATTCTAACCTGTCCCTCTTGTGGGGAGAAGACCAGGTGTGCTCAGAGTCAGCATAGCCCTGCCTGACCCATGGGAGGGGACGAAGGGCAGAAATAGTGTATTCCGTTACCTTTGTGAAAAAAGAGTGAAAATCACAGTTCTAGAGTAGAGACACTCAAAGTGTGATGGGATGCAAGATGATTCTAGGCCAGAACTTTAATATGTTTATTGTTACAAGTATGTCCTATAGCTGGCCTGTGAAACTAGTTTTCCTACTTGAAAGGGATATATAGTTTGCTTTTTGGTGGGTTTTTTTTTGGCTTCACCTCTCAGCATGTGGGATCTTAGTTCCCCGACCAGGGATCGAACCCGTGCCCCCTGCATTGGAAGCTCGGGGTCTTCACCACTGGACGGCCAGGGAAGTCCCTAGTTTGCTTTTAAAATAAGCTTATTTACATAAAAAGTTTAAAGAAATATTAAACAAATACACAGGGAGTAAAGATAGGGGAAAAAATCATGAGCATTGTATGCAGATGACTGTGGTGTTGGGAAACATTCCCTAGAGCAGCGGTCATCAACCCTGGATGAACATTCAAATCACCTGGAGCTTTAAAATCACCCGTGCCTGGGTCCTACCTCCAGAGCCTCTCATATAATTGGCCAAGGTGTATCCGGGCGTCAGTAGGTTTAAAAAGCTCCCCAGGTGATCCTAATGTGCAGCTGGGATGACGAGAATGGTTTGGAAAGCCACGATTCTCCAAGTGTGGCTCCTGGGCCGGCACATATCACATCACCTGGGCACTTCTTCGGCATGCAAATTCTCAGCCGCCACTCCAGAACTACTGAATCAGAAACTGGGGATGGGGCCCAGCAATCTGGGGCTTCACAAGCCCTCTGGGTGGGCCTGATGCAGCTCAAGTTTGAGAACCACATCTCAAGGGGCATGGGCAACAAACCCTAAAGGTAGCCTTCATGGTACCAGTCGGGCCAAGGTCAGCTGGCTCTGCCTGAGCCAGCCCCTGGGAAGCCCTTCTCCTGCCTGGGACAGAGAGGGTAGGTGGAGACCAGGTGGTGAGAATTACCAAGGTGATGACAACCTGGTGTCCACCGTGTCTCAACCTCAATTAATTCACAAACCAGTTAATCAGCCCTCAGAAAATCCACTGTTGACTACAATTTTATTTTCACCGTGATTTTTGATTATCACTGACCTCCTTCCACTCCATTACCCTTGTTAATGGAGAATTGACTATGCAGTTAAAATGAATGTTTCCTCTACTAACAGAGCTGTACCAGATTCATCTCAGAGTCCCTCACAGCCCGGAAAATGTGATGAGTCTACGGATATATCGATCTGATACAATTCATTTCACCCAGAGTATATGAAATTACCACTCAGAGGTCACCTATTATGTGTTCCTATGTCCAAAGGCTTATAGGGAAGAAATAGAGTGTTAGTGGAAGAATAACACGGTATTTAGAGAGCTAAACCAGTACTTGGCCGAGTCTGGCCTCTTGGCTGGCAGTAACGTCTGTATTAAAAGATGCTCAACACAGTTCTACAGATTTGTCAAAGTCCTTGGAAATATCGAGAAGGTAAGAACAAACACTCTGAGGGCTGCTTTTCTTCACCGGCTGGCTTTTTTTTTTTTTTTTTTTTTTTTTTTTGCGGTACGTGGACCTCTCACTGCTGTGGCCTCTACCGTTGCGGAGCTCAGGCTCCAGACGCGCAGGCTCAGTGGCCATGGCTCACGGGCCCAGCCGCTCCGCGGTATGTGGGATCTTCCCGGACCGGGGCACGAACCCACGTCCCCTGCATCGGCAGGCGGACGCTCAACCACTGCGCCACCAGGGAAGCCCCAGCTGGCTATTTTGATAAGGAAAAATGCAAAGAAAGAGGAGGCTAACAGGAGCTCACGGAATCTGATTATCTCTTCCAATGCTAAGTCTGAAAAATGAACTCTCATGTACAGCTCAAAAGATTACAGAACTTGCCAAAGAAAATGTGCTGGGAGATCGGCAGCGACAAGTGGAATTTGTCTTAAGTGTACGTACCATGAGAAGATGTTGGACAAAACACCATGGTCCTTTTCTCTTAGCCTAACACAGCAAAGGCAGAATGCCACCACGAAAGACAAATCAGGCAGCCTTGGGAAGGACGGTCGAACACTGCAGGGACTCTCTCTGTGACCAGGCATCAAAAAAGACTAGGCCAGCTGTCTCGTAGTTACCTGACTCTGGACTGACTACAAACAGCTCTAGGACAGCAACCACAACTGGGAGAGCCAGAATCTGGTCCCACTAAGTGACTCCCCCTAGAAGCCCGCCCCTCCAAGGGCTGCCGCCCCCACGCCCTACACCCCTCTGCCTCTGCTCCCAAGCTCCATCCACCACTGCCAGCATTTATCTGTGGGTCTCCAGAGTGCAGAGCTGTGTCTAATTCAGACCAAGACAAAGTACATCCTGAGGCCTCAGCAGATGACTTAAAGAACAAACAAACAACTATTTATTATAAAAAGTTACATCATACAGAAAAGTAGAGGAAATAGTGTGATGGACTGCAACACAGCCATCTCCAAATGCTCATTAACATGTTTCCAAGTTTACTTCACCTTTTTTTCTGCTGGAAGTATAAGTACGCACATTATAAACACCATGACATTTCACCTCTGAATACTCCAAAAATAAAGGACACTTTCTAAAGCAAGGCCACTTTCTTACTTATTCATAATACCATGATCACACTTGACAAAATTAACAACAATTAACAAAAATTCCTCAATATCATATAAGACAGGTCCAAATGTCAGCGTATATCTTTTGAGGAAATAAAGTATCAATACAGTTTGGGCAACCCCAGGAGAGACAGAGCAGATGTGAATGCCCCTGCAAGGTCCCCAGGAGGCAAATGTGCTCACCTCTGTCCCACCTGGGGGCTCCATCATTCCCAGAGGTGCGAGAAGGTGGATGGGCATTCCCTCAAGTGGGGTCCCCTTCTGGAGATTTGGGGGACCTCGCCCCGACAGTGCCACCACATCCAAACAGAGCGCTCCCAGGCCCCTCCAGTCAGCCGTCTCCCACGCGGTGACCAGTCTTGTCCAGGAGGCTGGATCTGATCAGACGAACCCACCTGTAGGCCCAGCTCTGCCAGCTACAAGCGTGCCTTGAGCAGGTCGCCTGAGCTCTGGGAACCTCTGTGTGCTCCTCTGTAATGTGGGAGATAAGGCCTGCCTCAAAGGGCAGTCATGAAGAGTGAAGGAGACAGTGACACAGGCTCTGTCGTGGAGCGCCTAGCACACGGCCTGGGCAGTAATGAGCTCACTGAAGTTCTGCTGCTGCCACTGGGGGTGGCAGTGATCCCCTTTAAGGCCATAAGGGCAGCCGAAGGCATGAGACTGAGCGAGGGCCAGGCAGAGAGAGGCCCGCACCCTGCAGATCTCTAAGGTAGGGCTTGCCTGATGCAAGAGGTCCTAGGGCGGGCCCTTCCCAGCTCCCGTGTCCTCCATGCAGGACGGTGCTGCCAGATGGCAGTGCTGACGAGTAGGGGGAGGAAGGCTGTTGGACCATCAGAGCAGAAGCGTTCCCTGCACGGGGCCTCTGGCCGCCCACCTGGGCCATCTGGTGTCTCCTACTGGCCTGCCGCTAGCCCTGAACCTCACCTCCAGGCACCAACCCTGGTTCTTCAAAACCACCTGCCATCAGCTCCTCCTCCTTTACTCTGTGTTAATGACAACCACTGTCCACCACCACCGCTGCCCACCATCAACACTACTGTTTATTAAGCACCTGCTACATTCCAGGAGTTTGCTGTGTAATTTTTGGACAATATCTCCCTGACTCCACACTCCAATCTTTCAAGAAAGACATGATTACCCTCCTTTACTCAGTGACTTAAAACAATATACATTTTATTATCTCACACTTCTGGAGGTCAAAAGTCCAAAAGAGGTCTCACTCGATTAAAACCAAGGTGTCGAAGGGCTGCATTCCTTTCTGGAGGCTGTAAGGGAGAATCCATTTCTTGCCTTTTCCAGCTTCCAGAGGCCGCCCTATTCCTTGGCTCGTGCCCCGTTCCATCTTCCCGGCCAGCGATGGCCAGCCCAGTCTTTCTCACACTGTATCACTCTGACCGCCTCTCCAGCCTTCCTCTTTCATTTGTAAGGACTCTTGTGATTACATCGAGCCCATCTGGATGATCCAAGATAATTTTAGAGTCAGCTGATTAGCAACCTTAATTTCGTCTGCAACCTTAACTCCCTCACGCCATGTAACCAAACCTATTCACAGGTTCCAGGGATTGGGATGTGGGCCATTACTCTGTCCACCAGAGACAGACTGAAACTCAGAGAGGTAATGGGGCTTACTCAAGGTCACACAGCTATTAAGTGGTACCAGACTCAGATGTCAGATTATGGGGACTCCAATCTAGCTCTGCTCCTGCTACTTCGCTTTGTGACCTTGGGCAAGTCACTCAACCCTTCTGGCCTCAGTTTCCTCACTTACAAAATGAAAAGGCTATCTAAGCACTCTAAAGTATCTCCTAGCAGCCAGTCTGTGACGGTCTGAGGCTCTCGACCTTCTCCTAATAACACATGTGAGAAAGCCCAGGACCCCATGAAACTCTCACCTCGTCTTGTCCACACTAACTGAGGCTCCAGTACTGACCATTAGAGGGAGCCAGCATCGACTTCCTTCTTTCCCCTACCTGGAATATTCCAAGCCTTTTGTCCTGGGAACCATGGAGATATGGACTTATGGACACCTGACTGCCTTACCCCCGTGCCCCTCCCAGCATACCACACAAATCTTAAGTCAACTGTTATGTGTTTTCCTCCCAATCCCCAGCTTAGAGGAGAGTAAGGATTAAGGTTTCTTTACACAATGAAAAGAAAATGAGAGAGTGAGAAAATCAGACAGTAAACATACAGGGGTGTGCAGGCTTTTTTATTGAGAGCTCCCAAACCAAGGCTGAAAAAAGCTCCTCTTCTTTTCTTTTTTATAATGCACTTTTTTTAAAAAGCACTTTTTATTACAGAAAATTTCAAACACATACAAAAATAGACAGATGAGCACAGAATTTGTTTTAACTCACTCCCAGGCCTACCACCTCCAATTCAGGTACTTCTCAAGGTCTGAAATTTGAGCTTTGAATCACCATCTGCAGTGGTCCACTCCATGTGTTGGTCCTGCGTCCCTTTGATTTAGAAACTGCTCTGCTACCACTCCTTATGATTCTGGAAGGTCTGTCAATCAAGATGGCCAGAAAACCTTAACTATAGGACAAATCAGAGCCCCTTTTCAATATGAACACTGGACAAAAGAGTATCTTCTTCTGAAATCAGGAGCTGTAAACTCCACATAAGCCTGGAGCTGCCATTCTCCCTACCTTAGAGAGTGAAGCCAACACAGTGGTGTTCATAGTGGAACTGCTGAAAGATAGAGAAGGGGTACTTCCTGGTGCCATGATCTGAGCACCTGGATCCAGCTGTGCCTGATACCCCGAAACTTTTTTATTCTAATAGCCATATTCCTAGTTTTGCTTGACTTAGTTTGAGTGAGGTTTCTATTCCTTGTAACAGAATCTTGAACATCCCCAGAAAGCCTTCTTTAAAACAACTAGCATAACTGTCTATTTTTCCTGTGGGAGTTAGAGATTAGCCTCCTTAATTTAACAAAACAGTCTATATTCCTTAGGGAATACATTTCCTACCAGAGAAGAGTGAAAATATGTGATTTAAGCATACTTCCTCAAGCAGGAAAGGACAAGCTGTCAGAGAGTGGTCCTGGGTTGAACAGGGAGACTGCACAAAAACTGGGCTTTGGGCCCACGCCTCCTGGGGTACAGCCATGAAACTAGGCAGGATAGGGTGGGACCAGGTTCCAGTTTCAGTGACTGAGGGAGGACCCACTTAGGCCTCAAGTGGTACCTGTCACTAAGAGATAAGCCTCCAAATGAAATTAGAGGAGGTGGATCACAGGCCACCCAGAAACCTGTACTCAGTCACCCTTCCCTACTCTTCCTTCTTCCCCCTCCTCGCCACAGGCCTCCTCTGCACACTGTGGACACAGAGCTCCCTGTGCCAGGCAGTGTGGAAATGAGCTACAACGGACAGCCCATGACCCGTGGGAGCCCACAGTCCAGTGAGAGGAGGCAGGTAAGTGCACGATGGAAGGAGCTGCAAGGCATTATGGGAAGAGGATGCACATAACAGGCTGGGGCCCTTGAGGAAGATTTCCTAGTTTATTGTCTCGCATGAAGGATGGCATATGTATGTTACGCACTGCAGCAGCATCTGTCATAGAGAAAGACTGCAAACAGCCCGGGGCCCACCCACAGAGAGCTGGTTAAGTAAACTGGGGTAAAGCCGCTCAGTGGAATACTGTGCATCTGTGAGGGAGGGAGATGGAGAGGGAGGGAGAGAGGGAAGGAGAGAATGCTTTATGTACTGATATGGAAATCTCTCCCAGACATATTGTTGAGCAAAAAAAAAAGCAAAATGCAAAATGGTGAGTATAGAATACTGTGTTTTGTATAAGGGTGAAATATAAAAAAGACCTTATAAACTCGCAAAGAATTATAAAGAAACAGAACAGTGGTTGTCTATGGGGAGGTAAGGGTATGGGATATGGGATGAGAAAGACCGTTTTCATTGAATACATTTACATTTTTTTTAACTTTCCAATCATGTAAATATGTTACCTATTCCAAAAACATTTTAAATAAAAGGTAAAGCTTCTGTGGCATTTAGGGTAGTTCTCAAAGGGATAGTTAAGACACGTTTGGGGACTGTGGCTTAGGTGCATTTCCAACACAGCTACAACGTGATGCTGACGTGCCTTCTGTTGAGAAGCAGGTCTATGTCCTGTCCCTCTGTAGCTGGGCAGGCAGGTAAATATGGCAGAAGTGACACTCTGAGACATCTGAGGGTGTGCCATGCGCGGTGACGGAACTTCCACCTGGTCCTCTTGGGATGCTTGTTCTAAGAACCCAGTTGTCCTGCAGGGAGGAACCAAGGCCAGCAGCCCGGCCCGGCCCAGGTCCCAGCCACTAGGCCCTGAGTGAGGGGGGGCACTGAGATGGCCAACTAACTGCCACTAGATGAGAGCCTCAGGGTGGGACCTGCTTCACTGAGTCCAGCCACCCCCCAGAACTGTAGAGACAAGAACCAAATAACTGTTTTCTTTCAATCCCTTAAGTTTTGAGGAGCAGTTCTTGGTTTGTGCCTCTGTCTTACACTTGATTTTCCAAGATGGAAGCTTTCTGACACACTTAGAACAGCTTACCTCTAAGCCCAAGAGGGTAGCAGAAACCACCCTGGGGGCAACTATTTAGTTGGCCCTATGAAAGTAGGAATAGTCTAAACAAATGAAACATATGACTCTGGATGCCCATGGGGACCATTCAGCAGGCTGCTGGGTACCAAGGTCTGGGCTCCAGAGAGGGGATGTGATGGAGCTGAGGACGCAGGAGGCATCTAGGTAAAGGTGGTCATTAAAAACCAGGGCTGGGAATGAAATCATCCAGGTGGAGTGCACAAACAAGAGAAGAAGACCTCTGGGGATGCCCCACTGAAAATGCCAGCAGAGGAAAAGGAGCAGGTAGACGTCAAAGAATCATCATCAGGGAAGAAGGAGGAAAATGCAAGAAAGAAGAGTTCAAGAGCTGGGCGTGGTGTCAGAGGTGTCAAATGTTACCCCGAAGATACAGAGAAAGCTCTGGAAGATTTGGCAATGCAGAGGAAATGCAGAGGTCAATGCAGAGGAAATGCAGAGGTCACTGGTGACCTCTCTATAGGAGAGTAGTCTTCCTGAAGTGGTGGGAAAAAAGGGAAACTCTCAATGCATTCCCATCAATATAAATCACTGCAACCAAACTTGATGAGACCAAACAGCAAATAATTGGGGGCTCCCTGCTGTATCTTCTGAGCAACATTAGAGGGGAGAAGGCAGACAGGGAAAAATCAAAATGCATATAATAGAACGAAACAAGGGAGACAAACATTAACAAATTGAGTACATACCGTCTGCACAACAAAGAGGCGACTGAACAGCACAAGGTGAGGAAAAACTACCTCTTGAGTTGGTCCTTTTTTTTTAGAGAGAGACTGTGAAAGACTCCTTTGTTTTGTTGACCATGCACAGTAACGGCAAGGCCAATGAAAAGATGGGGGAGTCCATAGGCTTCATCTCGTCAGCCAGTACTGATGAGCTGGAGTGGCTGCAGGGAACACCGTAGAGGAGGATGCAGGCTTGGGTATCAGGGAGTGACGTCTGCTGTGTGCACAGGACACAGGAATAGGGCACTAACACCAAGCATACGCCATCCCGGTCTTTATGGAACGCACATTTAACCATGCCTTAAAGGGAAATGGCCTCATTTCTCTAAAATGCCGGGATCTTGAATGAATGCCCTTCTCTGCAAATACTAAAATGCCCATAACTCAAAGCATATGAGATTTAGCCACTAAATCCTATTGAGCTTGCTACGTGAACAATTTTAAATCTTCTCTTGGAGTAAGGCCTTCATTTGTAGTGACAAATATGCCAACAGACAATAATAATAAATACATGGTGATGTTTCTAGAATCTGCAATATGCCTCCAAATTTCTGCTATTATTCCTCCTCCATGCATAGAAAAAAACAGGCATATAAAATGGATTGGGACTCAAACCATAGAGTGAATTAAGTTGAAATGTCAGTACAACCATATTATACTCCTCAATTGTTAACAGATACTTTGATGAAGTGCTTACTAAATCTTTAATTGGAGATGGAGTGTTTCTATATAAAGGCAATGACTACAAAACATTTATCATTAATCATCTACACATTTATCACAGTGTCTAAAGCCATAACTACAGACATTCTCTCCCATCCTCTGGTATCAGTGTCAGTACGGTGAATCCAGCATTAATATTAAAACACGGCAATGGAGACATAATTATGGGTTGATACAAATGAGGTTCAATGTTTTCTCCCAATGAATTTTTCTTTTAAGGTCATCTTAATGTATTACACTTGAAAAACAACAGAAAAAAAATCAAGCTACAAGAGAGGGGGAAACATTGCCAAAATAAAGATAACTCTTATTATATACTCAGGCCGTCTTTTAAAGTGTTGGGTCTCAAAGTGCATGGCTGCAGAATATTAGTGTTCTGCCACTTAAATCAAATATTGGTAGTCTAGCCCAACTCACAGGGAAAAAAGTGGTAATATTCTTCTTATCTAAGGTTTTCTTCCCATGAGTTTTCATAAACTTTGAGGGTTGGCTACTCTTAAGGTAGTCTTCAACTGAGTATAAACAGGTCTGATTCAGCACAGAATTATGGATTTGGTTATTTTCAGTTTAGTGCACTGATCACGTTCATGGTGTTTAGGGAAGAACGGCACAGCAGACGCTGTCCGTGCTATGCCCTGAGCTCTCAGGACTCATTGTTTTAGAGCAAGCCAGCGTCTTCTGTGAGTCAGCACGTGCATCCCTTTGCCCTGGTGCTTTACCTGGTGGCTGGAAGCTGCCGGAAGTCGCAGAGAATTCGCTTCCCCTAAGGAGCCTTGCTCAACCGATGACAGATCGCAAGGGTGTGTATATACCCAGCCGCCAATCCCCAGGAGAGGCCAGTTCTGGAATGGGCACTCTACACACTGGCTGCCGGAAACTCCCAGCAGGTTTAAACTCCAGTGGTCCACGCTGGTGACCTGCTTGATGGTGTGCCTCTCTGGCTCATTTCCCTACTTCCTTATTCCCCTTCTTTATTGGGGATTTCCTTCCAAATAAACCACACAGACTCAAATCCTTGTCTCAAATAAGGACACATGCCATGATTTCCCAACGTATGGCCAGCTGAGTATGAGAACTGCTGCTTTAGGACGTACCATTGGCCAAGCACTAGGCCCCTGCCAGCACTGGGCAGCAGAGGATGGAGGGGGACAGGGCCGACACTGGGAGAGCTGGCATCAAGAATGCAAAACCCAGGCCCTTGAGGTACGGGAGTACCAAGGCCTAAGCAGGACAAGAAGCCAGAGTGATGTAGGGCCGCCCCAGGCAACTGCTGACTTAGGGAGTGAGTGTGTGTTTGGGGCCGGGGGGCAGAGTTGGCTGAAACTTTACCAATGAAGCCCCCAAAGGTTGCAAACCCAAACCCCTCCATCCCTACCCCACCACTGGGGACTAGGTGGGGAACAGGGATGAGAGAGACTGGCAGAAGGGTATGAGGCTGCAGGGCAGGGAGGGGCAGTAGCCTCCTCCAACTTATAAGACCCTGAGACTCTAAGTCTACACAGCCAGAGGGAGCACATCTCCTGGCCACTCAGCCAGTGGACCCAGAGGATGTCCCTCGACCAGAGACACTGAGGCAGGGAGCGAAGCCTGGCCTCAGAAACTGCTGAGTAAAAGATTTAATCAGGATAAGGCCACGAATGCAGTGACCTTAAAATTGCAAACAGCGTTAAGATCATTATTGAACTTGGCTCGCTTTAGAATTAAAAAAAGATTTTACAGGAGTAATAAAACAGTATAGAAAATTTAAAATATGGAAGAAAGTTATCCATTGTTCCACTGTTCAAATGCAATTCTTGTCCCCTTGAGGCAACCCTCATAGACCATTTTCCTGAACACATCTTTCATGTAACAGTATTCTGTTCACTGAGCGGGTAATGACTTCTCTCATTACTAATCTTCCTATTTTTAAATATTCAACCAACCTGGTGTTCTGTAACTTGACTACCCTCCTATACTGGATATTCAAGTCACTTCTAAGCTTCCACCATTATAAATAATGACGCATCTTCATACAGTGGCATTTTCCAATGTTCAAATTATTTTCTTAAGACAGAATTCCAGAAGCAAAAGGTAGCAATTCAGTGACATCTGAAACAGGAAGCCCCCCTACTTTCATCATCTACAGTCCTTGGATTAGTCATAAAATATAAACCGGGTAACAGAAACTGGCATCCTCTTTCTCACACACAAAAAATATTAAGACAAGGTTGACCAATAGCATCATAAAAGTTACACAGAAGTGGTGCTGGGAAAACTGGACAGTTACATGTAAAAGAATGAAATTAGAACACTCCCTAACACCATACACAAAAATAAACTCAAAATGGATTAAAGACCTAAATGTAAGACCGGACACTATAAAACTCTTAGAGGAAAACATAGGAAGAACACTCTTTCATATAAATCACAGCAAGATCTTTTTCAACCCACCTCCTAGAGAAATGGAAATAAAAACAAAAATAAACAAATGGGACCTAATGAAACTTAAAAACTTTTGCACAGCAAAGGAAACTACAAGCAAGACGAAGAGACAACCCTTAGAATGGGAGAAAATATTTGCAAACGAATCAACAAAGGATTAATCTCCAAAATATATAAACAGCTCATGCAGCTCAATATTAAAAAAAACAAACAACCCAATCCAAAAATGTGCAGAAGACCTAAATAAACATTTCTCCAAAGAAGACATACAGATGGCCAAGAAACACATGAAAAGCTGCTCAACATCACTAATCATTAGAGAAATACAAATCAAAACTACAATGAGGTATCACCTCACACCGGTCAGAATGGCCATCATCAAAATATCTACAAACAACAAATGCTGGAGAGGGTGTGGAGAAAAGGGAACCCTCTTGGACTGTCGGTGGGAATGTAAATTGATACAGCCACTATGGAGAACAGTATGGAGGTTCCTTAAAAAACTAAAAATAGAACTACCATACGACCCAGCAATCCCACTACTGGGAATACACCCAGAGGAAACCATAACTCAAAAAGACACATGCACCCTAATGTTCTTTGCAGCACTATTTACAATAGTCAGGAAATGGAAGCAACCTAAGTGTCCATCGACAGACAAATGGATAAAGAAGTGTGGTAATATATACAATGGAATATTACTCAGCCATAAAAAGGAACGAAATTGGGTCATTTGTAGAGACATGAATGGACCTAGAGAGTGTCAGACAGAGTGAAGTCAGAAAGAGAAAAACAAATATCATATATTAACGCATATATGTGGAATCTAGAAAAATGGTACAGATGAACCGGTTTGCAAGGCAGAGATAGAGACACAGATATAGAGAATAAACATACGGACACCAAGGAGGGAAAGCGGGGGCGGGGGGTGGTGGGATGAATTGGGAGATTGGGATTGACATGTATACAATCATATGTATAAAACAGATAACTAATAAGAACCTGCTGTATTAAAAAAAATTAAATTAAATTTTAAAAAAAGTCACATAGAAGAAGGCCCGATGGGAGAATTAAAAAGCAAAGCAGTCTTTGATACTAAGTCTAGGGTTCGTGCAATAAACACCAATTTCTGATCTTTAAAATGAACAGTTGAAGGTCAAACATAATTTCAAGTTAGACTCCTACACACTAATTCGTGTAACAGGCATTCTGTTCTAATGATCAACTGCTCACAGAGAAACTTCTAGCCTTTTAAAGCCTGCTCTTTACCTGGCCTGGTGGGATTCCCTGACACTGACATTCATTCTCTCCCACATGCCACTTACTGGGCCCCAATTGAGCTTAGTTTCCATCACTTGTTTTCATCATTCTTCCCCCCGCCCCCCAGTTGCCCACCCTTTTTGGCGAGCAGACTGGCTGAGAGCAGAGCAGCTGGTGGCCGTGGTTAGGGGCAATTAGGTTGACCTTGTTGCTCAGCCTTGCTCCACACTCCTGTCTTCCCAGTGCGGTAACTAGGTGGGAAGGACCAGAATCAAGGCGCTAACCCTCACACATCTGCCTTGAATACGTGAACTCTGCAAGAGAGTTCCCACACTCCTACCTGGGCTGTGTCCTGCCTTGACAGTTCATTTTTACAACAGGAAGCAAGGGAGGGGGTTGCTGACGGAAGGCGGAAGGCAGGAAGGAAGACTGGCTCTAATTTAAAACCATCTTAGGAGCTCTAAAATGTTCCTGGCTGACTGATGGGCACATTTACTCCTTAGAACCCTTTTCATAAATAGCTACCCCTTAACATGCACTTCCTAGAGGCAGTAAATACCGTCACTGTGTGTCAGCCTTATGGAAGGCAGATTTCCAGAACCACTTCTTTTCTCCATGGCTCAGAGTCACACGATTACAAGCCCATTAGACCTGTACCCTGAGAATACTGTGGTCAAGCCCAACCCCACCAAGACTGGCGCGGAGGCCTGCTCAATTTCTGCACAGCGATGCGACTTTCCTTCCTTTGCTTCAGGGCAGACAGCAGCTCATCTCTTGTAATAAGGTCTACCTCTGAGACAGGTGGGGATCGAAGATGTATTTTGTCATCAGCGATGGCCAAATAAATAAAATAACTCTCTAATAATATTTAGTCATGGAGAGAGAATGCTTCCTGGGGCTGTTTGGATCATGTCTTATTTAAAACTGGACTCTGAGTGTGATTTTCTCTTTGTTCTCAGAGGAACTGACTGGGCTTGAAGGTAGGCGTGGTGTGCCTCCGGAGAACGCTGGCTCCTGACGAGGGACCACGCTGGGATGGCGGGGCTCTGAAGGGGTAGGTCGCTGCCAGCTATCCCGCCCTCCCTCAGCTGCGTGCAGACAGGTGTCCTCCACACACCTGGACAAGAACAGTCAGCTTTGCCCTTCTTTCCCCTCAAATGACAGGTCTCTAGACACAATGTCATAACATCTATGCCAGAACCTCAGCCTGATGTGCCCAGAGATATCAAAGAAGGAGAAAAAATATAAGCTCTTGGTGGTCCCTGTTACTCTGAAGGGAGAGGGCCTCAATGCCCACCATGCCCGATCTACCCCAGGTGAGCTGGACACCTGTATGTTGCCGCCAGCCAGTATGAGAGATTCTGAAAGCTAGCACACCCAGTGAGACAACATCCAAGGAGGGGCTCTGTACCTCTAAAGGGTTAAGGAAACTGAAGCATTAGCATTATTTTCCCATTTTGAAGCCAAAGCTCAGTGATTTTTAAAGTACACATTCTCATAAGATTACTTTGGCCGCATAAAATATTGTTTGCCACAATTCACAGAAAAATACTATCCAACAGTCTTCAAAGGTACATAAATAATTCAGTATAAGCCTCCAACCAACACTTCCGGGCCCCCTCTATCTATATCAATACTGACAAAATCTCTATATCTACCCCACTTTTATGCGTTCTCCAGGCATGCCAGGCTTCTCATTCATGGCAGTTAATCTGGTTTATAACTTGACGTTGTGTGTGTGGTCATGTGCTTAATTCTGTCTTTATCAATAATCTGTCTCATGATGTCTTTGGGCCGCAGGAGGGTGGAGACTGTGTCACTTTGTCTCAGCATTCTAATCCCCAGGACACTGCCTGAGAATGTACAGAAGGAAGAAAGGGAGAGAAGGAGGGAGGATAATGAACAAGACATGGTGCTGGGTACCAGGGGTGCTTAATCCAATAGCTGTGGAAGCGCTCACAGCCCACAGAGGAGGTAATGCCAGGGCAGCTGGAAAAGTGATGCCCAGCAGAGGTGCCCAGCGTGACCATGGGAATGCAGGATTGTTTCGGAAAGGCTTCCCTGCAATAGGCTGTGCCCCTGCAGGTGCTGCAGGGGTTCCAGCTTTCGGGGCAGATGCGGCCAGAGACAGGGACAGCAGGAAGGCACGGGGATGCAGATCAGACCCTTACTGGGCGGGAGGCCAGACCCAGAGATGGCACTCCTGGGTGGAAAGGGCAGACAGCCCCGACTTCTAGAAGACGCTGCAACCTTCATCCAAGGCGTTTTCACCCCCCAAACCCATCACTGAGAACCTGTGATTTCCCCAGAATTGATTTCCCCAGATTCACACTAGCCACAGAACGTCTTTCTATTCCTAGTTCCAAGATTGGTGCTGTGGGTCTATGTGTACATGAGAGAGACAATGATGAGGGAATCACAAGTCCACTGTGATTTAGCAGAACCACACAGCTAAAACGGTGGGGCAGGAGCTGCCGTCCTGAGGCCTGCCCTGCAAAATGGGATCTGTCTGTCTTTACAAGGGAACTATGATAAACGAGCAAAGACAGACACTGGTCAGGATGAGCCACTTTATTTAAAAGCTTCGACAGCCCAAAGTGGTTTAACATAGATGCACGGAAGATTTATCTAGATGATAAAATACCTGAACTTGAAAGACACATAAATTATAATTCTGCAGTTTTTTTCCTTTTAAGATTTCACATAGTCAAGTGCTTTAAGTAATGCATGAAATGCACGTAAAGCTGTCTGGTTAGCGTCTGCAGAGAACCTCTGCTTCCAGATGGGACAGAGCTCAGAATCAACGCCACCCATCTGTGTCTGTGGCCTTCCGTTCCCTCATCACAGTGGACAGCACTGGGAAGATTCATCAGTATAATAATAACAGCAGCAGCTATTATTGACTGAGTACTTCCCAGACCTTGCGCTGTGCACTGAGGACGGCACACCACACACTTATATACGAGCGTTACTGACTGCTCATAACAATCCTACAAATGAGGGACAATGAGTCCCAGGTTACAGATGCAAAATTGTACTTCAGAGAGCTTCTGTCATGCATGTGAGGTCACACAGGCAGCTTCATCTGACTCCAAAGCTGCAGTGTTCATCACTAAGCTGCAACATACATGAAAATGCTTGGCCCTTAGCCAGGGCCTAAAAACATTAGTTCTCTCTCCCTATCTTCATACGCCCTTCTTTTTTTTTTTTTTTTTTTTTTTTTTTTGTGGCTCACTGCTGCAGCCTCTCCCATTGCGGAGTACAGGCTCCGGACGCGCAGGCTCAGCGGCCATGGCTCACAGGCCCAGCCGCTCCGCAGCATGTGGGATCTTCCCAGACCGGGGCACGAACCCGTGTCCCCTGCATCGGCAGGCGGACTCTCAACCACTGCGCCACCAGGGTAGCCCCATACTCCCTTCTTTTAACAGCACACTTACACATTGAGAAATTTGATCTGTGGGTTTAGGTTCCTTTGTTCATTTGTTCATTCATTCATTCATTCTTTCATGCATTCATTATGGGCCCAGTATTCTGCTAGGTACAGGGCTTACAGAATTGGATTCCACAGCTCCTGGACCGGTCTCAGGCAATTACCATATCCATAGGAGGGCAGGGGTCAGCATGGCGCAGGGGCAGCTCCTCACTGGGGACCCACACCCAGCTGTGGGTTAGGAACAACCCAAACAAGACAACGTTGGATCTTTTTCAACCCTAGTTTTTCCCCCACGCTTTTGCTGTGTTTTCTTTGGCCTGAGTCTTCAGGCCTTCTGACAGCCCGGCAGCCCAAGAGGCCCTTTATCACCCAGAACACCGCTTTTTCCTGCCAGGGCTGATGCTTTCCGGTAAAACCACTGCCAACAGATAACACAACTCCCCCACTAATCACCCTGCACAGTTCCTCAGAACCAACCTCTCACCCCCACCTCCTATCTTCTGCCTGCCTTGTTTCACCAATTTTTACCCAGAATAAGGAATAATAACAATAGCAACAGCAGCAGTAACTTCTACATGTCAGGCGCTGCTCTATGTATCTTAGGTACATTAACTCATTAAATCCCCATAATAACCCTCTTAGGTAGGCACTATTGTTACTCCTATTTTAGTTCATTTAGGGGAAGAGGGAGGGAGGTTACATTTCTTCAGGGCCAGCTAGATGCCAAGCACTGTCTTAAGCTTGCACAATCAGATAATAAGTGACCTGCCCAGGGCCAGGCACAGAGCTGGGAAGTAACAAATAAGAACCTGAACCCAGGTCTGTGACTGCCTAACCCATCGCTCTCCTTTTGCTCTCCGCAGGTGGCATTGCCACGGTCTGCGAGGGGAAACAGAGTGGCTGCACAAAGCCTGCCCTCTCCCCCCCAGCACCCTTCTGTTAACACCTGTCCTCTGCTTTTTTTTTTTTTTTAACCCCTACTCACAAACAGTGCCAGACTCTTCTCTCAACTGTGTTCTCCACTCTCTGGGCCTCCCGGCCTGTTTTCATGGAGCAAATCCTCAGTTTCCACCAACAGTATAAACCGAGTCAATACAATATACAAGCAGTCACCAGCCAGGTGTTTTCTGAAGCTTCCAAACCTCTCCTAAATCCCTGGGGGTCCTCAGCAAGGGACAAGTAGGGTTGCTGCCTCTTGGGAGTTTTCTGGCCAGTTTTGGGGGGTGATGCCACCAATAAAAATAAGGAAGTAACATGCTCAGTGGAGGAGTGTGAGCCTTATGTTCTCAGGGGATTCACGGTGTTGGCACCGTGAGCCTTTCTGGGAAATGTATACCTGGCCCTGACGGAAGCAGGAGGCTTTCTCTGGCAAGGCCATTGGATCAGGCTCTCTCCTCTGGGCTCCAGAGCACCACGGCTGGGACTACCAGTGTACTTCACCTGGCCCACCCTGCATGAGCTCCATGAGGGCAAGGCCAGTGTAAAGTGGGCACCAGTTAAATATTTTAAGAAGGAATGACTAAAGCAGGCATCATTTTAGAGAACAAGCTGTTTGAGAGATTCTACTCAGACAAGGAGACAGGACTCCAGGAGAGGGGAAGTGAGTGCCCAGAGGCAGCACCCTGCGTTCGGCCCAGATTACAACCTGATCCATCCACAGAAATCTTCACCTTCATTCACTTACTGCACCCTTGGAACACCACTAAGTCATTTACATGCAAAGTCTCAATCGTCAATGGGGAGGAACAGTCCCATTGTACAGAGGAGGAAGTTAGGAAACTTGCTTTGCTCCCTGCTTTCAGCGGGCAGGACCTTCCTTTTCTCAAACAAGCCACACTCTCTCCCAACAAGTGTGTTTACTCCATCGTTCTCCACCTTGGGACCCTGCCATTCATACTGAAGTGTGAGCTCCAGCATCCTTTATAGATGGGGACCACCGGCTAAATGCTCTCCCAGCACCCTGCACTTCCTATCTTCACAGATCTTTCAGTTTTTTAACTTTTACACTCACATGTGGAGATTACCTATTTGCTGTGGGTCTCTCTTACCAGACTGCGAGCTCCACGGGGGGTGGGCACTACGTTCGTTGGACCGCACTGTACCCCCCAGCACTGAGCCCAGTGACGGGCACTCAACGGCATGCAGGATTTGGTGGACCCTTCTTTGCATTTGTTGAGGGCTCGAGTGCTGAAGATGGGCTCGGGTCTGAGCCACAGGGGTGCTGCGGTTAGGTCGATAACGCTGTGGCGAGAATGGGTGGCGCCGGCTGTAGACAGCAGGAGTTCTGGGGTTCATCCGACCCAGACGGGTTACCGAGCTCCGCACCCCGCCGCCACCTGTCTCCCCGGTGCGGTGCGGGCCAGGTCTCGGCGGGCGCCCACCAGGGCAAAGGCGGGCTGAACAGGCCCGGCCTTGGCTGCGCTTACCTGCGCGTCGCGCGGCTCCGCAGAGGCACTCGGCGAGCCTCTGGGGACTGTAGGGGACTGTAGGCCCGGCGGCGCCAAACCGGGGCTCTTCGCCCGCGCTTGGCCCCGCACCCAAGGCCAGGTGAGGACCGCTCCAGGCCTCCGCACGCACCGCCCTTTACGGTGGGGCAGTCAGTCACCTGCCCTTCCTACCCCCGCGGTGGGGAGAGGGCCTAAGGCGAACTAGACTCTGCACTGCAACGGCTCCCCCGCGGCGACCGGAGTCAGAGAGAAACCGCGGCGCCCGACTTCCTCGCCGGGGGCGGGCCCTAAAGAGACCACGTCCCACGCCCCGCCCCTTTGGCCAAGCCCCGCCCACTCCCCCACCCCCGCCTCTGCTCCCACTCCCTGGCTTGTGTGCGCCTTTGCATTTTATTTTTCTATGTTTTGCGTTCCGCTTTATTTCTTATTTTTATTTTTACTTCTTTTTAAAGAGCAAATTAAAAAATATAAGTAATGCATGAGCACTTTTTAGAAAATAAAGTTACCTACATGTTCTTATAATGGAAGCAACAGAGCCCTCTCCCTTGCGCCCCACCACGGAGTCCTTTATAACACTTACCCCGTTGAGTTCAGCTAGTGGTTACCTGCTTGTCGCTAAAAAATAAGCTTACATAGAGATTTCTTGAGTTATCTGTTGACTTTCTGCCATGTTCGATGAGGATTTACTCTCTTCCTGCGGCCCTGCCTTCCCTCTCCTGACAAGTTTACACCTCTGTTCTCAAGTCCTGCCCTGGTGAGCTCTGAGACCTCAAATCAGGAGTGGATGAAGGCTTTCTGGGGCCTGAAGCGTATACAATTGTGGGGGGAGGAGAGTAGGAGGGCTGTTTTAGAAAGCCCTACAGAATCAAGCCTTGCAAATGAAAATTTATTTAGAATGGGAAAATGCAATCACAACAAAATGCTGGGGCCTTGGAGATTCAGGTCCGTATCCTCTGAGATCTTCGCAGGTAATTTATTTCCTGAATTTGCTTCCCCAGTGTGGCCTGGCCTCCTCTGCCCACCCAGAACCCTCCATAACTTCCAGTCCTTACAGGGGCGGTGAAGGTCAAGATGCATCAGTTTCTGCCAATAGGATTTCCTAATGGAGTGAACTGAAGTGTGCAAAAAAAAAGAGATGTCAAGGGTGATGTCAAGGTTTTGTGACTGCTGCACACCTCGTTCCCAGCTTTTCCTAGCATCCGTGACAGGTTCTTGGTACGGAGTGTTTTGTAAAGCTGGCTCTGGGCCCCTGCAGGATCACCAGATTCTCACAGTGCTCCCATGACCTTGGCTGGACAGGCATACCGTCTCTACTTTTAGGAGGGCCCTTCCTTGTCCCCTCCTGAATCAGCACAGGGGACACACAGCTAGCATCCAATAAGTGCACAGGTGAAGGGGCTGGTCCACCTCTGCTTACTCAGACTCAAGAAGCGGTGTCCACACCCTCCCTGACACCCCTTCTCTCCTGAGAGTTCAGTCCTTCCCCTTCCTCCGCTCTGCCCCGCGTCTCTCCTGCTTCCTCTCCTTCCTCCCTCGTCCGGCTCCCAATAATCAGAAGTGACTCCCTTACAGTGTGAAATGTGCCTCAACAAGGTGATCTTGGGCAAAGTCACTTTACCTCTCCAAAGCCTCAGGATCCTTCTGCGAAATTGGAGGCAACAACTTTTGGGGGAGGATTAAGTGGCTTCATAGGTATACGCATGAAGATTTTTTTTTTCCTTTTTTACAGCCCTATTTTTTTTTTTTAACAACTCAGAAATTTTAAACAGTGGTCAAATTTATTGCTCTTTTCTTATTATTGCTTCTGGATTTTGTATCATACTTAGAAAGGCCATTCCTACTCTGAGATTTTAAAAAATTCAAGGATAATGATCTTTGGATGGTCTCTTATTGATAACACGGTTTGTCTCCCAGCAGGGTGGGAGACTTGTGAAGAAGGTTAGGGACTTAAAATCTGTGTGTAGCATTGGTACCACAGGTTGGGTTCAAATCAAGGACTAAATCATTCTGAGTCAGGGCCCTGACCCAGGGAAGGAGAGGCTGGACACAGAGAGCAAGAGGGGGATGGGCAATGACTTCTCCATGCAAGGGATGCTTCTTTCCCTGGGATAGTGAAGATTAAGGCTTGGTTTAGGAGGAAGCCTAGCTTCCCGGGTGTGAAGTGGTGCCTCCTAGTGGTGGGAGGTAAGAACTTCACATAATAACCATAATAACTTCACTTATCCCAAATCAAGGAGGAGCAAAATGCTGTGGTTGAGAAATCCATTCAGGGGAGACAACTAGCTCCTAATACTCTAGATAAGGGACTATCTACATGAGAGTCATGCC